AATCTAATGAACAGGAGACTTGAAGAAGGCAGGATCAGCGAAAACTTTGCATATTGCCTAAACAAACTAAGAGAAGACCAGACGACTAGTAAAATCAGCACAAAGAAGACGACTGGTAGACCAGAAAGGAACAATCAGAAGCCAAGAGGAGGCGTCTTCAGTGAGCCTCGTCTTGCAATGTACCACGCCCACGGTCCGACTTTGGAAATGATCATGATGTATACAATGGAGTTCCTCTAACTCTTCCTACCAATATAACCAATTTGCGTAAACAAGGTCAGACTACTTATATATTTGCATTGTCGTTTATGCAATCACATATTTTCCATTGCGACAAATTATACTACTTATTCTTGATATAAGTAGGTGTTTATTCCATCACTACTTTGTGAATAATATGTCTACTTATGTAGAAAGTAGACGGCGTTGTCAAATGTAATAGCATTCTAATCGAATATGCAGCTGCTGTCGTCGCCACCGCTGGCAATGTTGCCGAAAACATGTTCTTCACATGGAACCTTTCGTTAAATCTACCCGTCTCCTCTGCAAATGTCAGCCTGTTCCTAACGCTAACGGGAAAACTCTCGAGGCCAGGTAAATTGATCGGAGGGCTGCAGATGAAAGATGGGTAGTGTAGAGGATGACGTAAACCTGCAGAAACATCGAACACGTTCAGACCGAACTTGAACTGGTCAAATGCCAGCAAGTTGGCCGTGTTAGTAAGCATTCTGAGCTCCGTTGACGAGTCAATTTCACTCGTTTGGAACAAAGTAAAATATAGTATTGACTCGTAAGTAGTATGATTGATGTCAGAATATTGTTGCTGAAATGAAGAAGCTCCTGCAAAAGATCGCATGCATCTCCGAACATCCTGTTTCCAGGGGGTCGATGGAGCTAATATGTCAGTGTTTAAGGCCTAATGATGGAGGAGTTGAGGTCAACGCTATAGTGGATATGCCAAATTTCGTCAAAATAGACAGTTTTGCAGACTTTCACAACTAAAAATTCATTCTGCAGACTGATTATACTGCACTATGCAAATACAATTAATGAGGGCATATGGATTGTTTCTTTAAACTTTCGAGTTCGCATCCCACAGTTTTTCATTTGCCCCGATGTAGTCAGGGTTTTTACTTCTGTATATTGTCTAATGAAGGGACACATTAAGCGGTTGCTTTAAAAAAACCACATTCAGGCTGTAGGCTGCCCCCTCAATATCTGCAATATCTGGATGGGAAAGATTTACTAAACTATACAAAAGGCTATATTGAGACTATAATAAATTATAAAATTCACTTTGATTTTAACTGCATATTCGTGATTGGACCCCCTTAACGTGGTCTAGAATGGAATATAACACAGATTTTGTCAACATAATCCGCTAACATCTCACTGACTTTTTTTCACATTTTAATTCCAAGC